ATGCTGCCTTTTTTCAAAATATTTTAACTCATTCCTACGGTTCATTGAGTATCTTCCTATTCTATGTCTACCCTGTGAGTAGCTTCAATCAGATTCTCTCATTCACCATTACCAGAAAAATATAGTACCAAGTAACATGATGATCATGAAGTGCAAGACGGTAACACTGGATGAAGTGGGGGATCATACCAGAAGCAGAACTAACAAATTATTTTCTTTTCGAGTTGCATTTCGAACCAACGAGAAAGAGAAGAATTAGATTAATTAACAAAAACCAGCAAACCATAAAACATTGTAGTTACAATAATGTGTTCTTATAACAATCCACAGATACCAACCTACAAATAAAACAGGATAAAGACAAACAGCCCGCTCCGCCCAGTGGCATGTACCCTGAGTCAGGGCGTTCAACTCTTATGGATGATGATGTCTTCTAGTCCCGGAACCCTTTTCCCTTCCCCAATTAATAATTAATATATATAAATAATTTCAATCTGTTTAAAAAATAAAACAGGATAAAAACAAATATTTCGATTTTTGATATATATATTTTTTATTGCGTGGTCCAACAACTTCAAGGAATAACTCCCACAAAATCCTAACCTTTATCCCTAAATTATCAATAAAAAGGGATAAAAGAATATTAACAGATCTAACAAGTCACAAGTCCACAACAGATATAAAATTTTTTTACTTTTTCTTATTCTTGAGAATCATATAAATAAATAAATAAATAAAAAGGAAGAAGGAAAGAAGGGACCAGACTCAAGAAGCACGAGTAAAGTTTCAAACTTGCTTTCAGAGGAGACACTATAATGGGAATTGCAATTGTAAGAGATGCAAAATGGGTTTACTGAAATTACCTTGTTTGGAGGGTACACGTCCTTGTACCAAGCAGGTCTATTTTGAAGGTTTAAAGGAACCAACTTGATCTTCTCTTGTAGCCCCTGCAACCCAATACATGGTCCAATCAGTGAAAACACCAAATGGGTCAATTTAATAACAACAAAAATTCAAAAAAGAAGAAGGCTTGGGACCTTAAAAAAAAAAAAAAAAAAAAAGAGTTGTGGACAACCTTGTAATTCCTGGTGATCCAAACACGTTGGCAATATGGGCATGTGTAACAGGTATACAACCTAGTAGTTCCATCAAAAAGAGGAGGTTGCACCCCAGTAGCATCCAATGGTGGAAGCAAGATCTCTTTGCTCCTGAATCAAAAACTCAAAACAGAAATGCATGAATAAACGGAGAGAATTAGACAAATCTCAAAATTCGAAGTGGGAAAATTCAGAGATTCTTACAGTGTAGCCATTGATGTTGGTGGGTTCTTCCTGAAGATTTTCTTCGTATGTAGTAATTTGGTGCTTAAAGGGGTCTAGGTGCCTGGGATTTTTATAGGAAAATGAACAGTTGAACAATCGCGAGCATTGACGAAAAGTGCGTGCCACGTGTACCGTTGATTAGGAGGAGATTTAATTACGGTTTGGAGGTCGAGTCCACAAACGTGACGGTCAATGCACGACGTTGACGGTGCAAGTCGTTGCCGTCATCACCAACGTCATAGATGTTAAGAATCCAGAATCCGGAAGTCAACGGAATAGAAGAATCCAGAATCCGGAGTCCACAGATTTTAAATCCCAATTTGATCATGAACTATTGTATGGACCTGGTTTTATCTTTGAAGTAAAAAAATCTTTAGTTTGGTTTTTAAATTATTATATAGACTTTCATTTGGTTTTATTGTTTCTCAATTTACTCTAAATTGATTTATTTGTACAAAAATAATTGATATGTTTTGTTATTAATATAATA